CGATGGCTTGGGCATGTGTTGCGAATGCCTCCAGAAAGAAAGGCTAAACAACTGTTCCTTGCAAATCCGATCGGCAGGAAGCCCAGGGGACGGCCAAGATTAACCCGGTGCAAATATATGGAAGGAGTCTGTTCCAGACTCCATTTGTGTTCTGCCGAAGCTCAGACTCTGGCACAGGATCGGGAACGTTGGAAGCTCTGTGTGACATGTCTGCCACCGCCACCCCAAAGGAGAAGCGGCGATGGAAGATGAAGATGTTATCGGCAATGTTGTAACTCCTTTAAAACCAGTCTTTTCTCTTCGCTGCTGCCCGTCTAAGCTTGTTTACACCCTGTTTGTTATGATCATTGTGAGTGTCTTGAAGACTTGTGGGAGCAGTGAAATACGGCGACAGTTTTTTTTTAAATATCTTCCTTCTTTCCCATGTTGTTGTACACTATTGTATTTGACTCCTTTCGGCTTGATGGAATCTTTTCCATATCCAGAAAGATCCTGGACCTCTTCGCTAGAGCCCTCCACAGCGTCTGGTCACCTACATCTATGATTTCAATTATCAGATCATATCTCTCTTTTGTTCTTCCTTCCTTCATTTCCTGCATCCTGAACTTCGCTTATGACAGCCGGGTATGCTTTTCCTTCTTGCTGTTGGAGAGTTAGTATAGCGATGCGGGTATTTGACGCAAAGAGCTTGGTATAAATGTCCTTACAGTGTGTCTGAACTCTGTCAGACGTTATTGCACCATTGATGTTCTTCAATTCCGCTGTGTCAGCTGACTATATGCACCGGCTCTGTTTCTGTTTGAAATCACAGCTGCGTTTGATGCTCGGTCTTCGCTGAAAATACACATCTGGCGCAACGTCTCGTCGAATACCAATTGGCCATCTGCAATGTGTTTCTCTCGATCTTTTCTTTCAAATGTTAGTCTGACCCTTACCTTTCTGTGATCACTACCATTGTTAAATAATGGCGCTACTGCTATGTCTAGAATGATGCAGCATTTTTCGGACAGGTCAACTCGATCTCATTTTTTGTCGCTGCAATGGGCACGATCCATGTTCGACATCTGTTGTTGTTCTTTGTGAACCAAGTATTGCCAGTGTGAATGTATTTTGTTCTGCCATTGTCACAAGTCTATCTACTTACTCATTTCTCTTTCAAGTATAGTACCTGCTGCCAACGTTTCATCGATTCTTCCTCTTCTGACTTTGGCATTGAAGCTTCTCATGACAGTGGTACACGTGAACTTTCGATTAATTCTTAATAGAATTCTTCCACTTCTTTCTCGTCGGCTGTGCTTGTGACAGAGTAGGTTTCGTCAATCTTCTTGCTCCTTTGGTGACATAGTACGCCCAGTCTTGATGATATAACGTGGCAGGAAATTTTTAGAACTTTTTGGTACCAGGTTTTGCTAACCACAAGTTCTGTCCCTCCCATGTTCTTCATGCTGTCTACTCTTCCCAGCCAAATGGAACTGCATCTTTCTAGATGTCATACTTCTCCTTCCGTCGTCGTGTGTTGTGAAAGTCTAGAGTCGCGCGTCATTCTTGATCTTTTCTCCATTAGTTGGTTTAACGTTTTTTGTTTCGCCTGTTTTACTGTTGTAGACGCAAACGGCAAGAGAAATTTGTTTCCGTTTGCCTAATGACCACCTTTCACTTGGGATTCGCAGCCTCTCATCGGTAGAATACTAGTAGTACTAAGTACCACCGCGGTGGAACGGATCAGTAGATGTGGGCCGTGCTCAAGCCCGTTTATTCGTGTTGTCATTTCGCGTTAGGTCTTGTTGCCTGCTGCTACTGACATTGTTGACGATATCCTGAGAAATTTTGTACAGACGTGTCCCCCAATTCCATCCGGTTTTTTAATTGAATTTGTGTCTTTTAGCCTCTGACGAACCGACGTTTGACCGCAATGTAGCGGCGACATGGACGACTTTTTTCAAAGAGGCAGGTCGTTTCGCCTCAGTATAAGACTGTTCTTGGGCATTAAGACTTCTTTTCCGAGGACGAAATTGTCAAGCTCGAACCCAGCCACGCTTGGTGTTCTCAGTGCTACCTGTTCGCGATTGCTTATTTGTCGCAGCTAACTTCCGTATCTGTAGGTCGTTCCTTTACCTACAACCCGGAGACGTTCCAGTTGGCCAGCAACTACGATTTGCAAGATTTGTGAATAAGAATTCATCCTGTTACAAATTCTCCAAAGTTTCAGGTCGTGTTTGGTTTGTCTTCCGGAAGCGACGTTAAACAAAGGAAATGAATGCATTCATTTTTTCTGCTTGACTGAATAAAGGCGGATAGCGTATTATCTGAAACTTTTGAGAATTCACAAAATAAATTTGGTGTGCGGTGTCGCTCAATCAATCATATTTTGAATTTTGAACTGGCTTGGCTTGCAGTGTCTTGCACGCCACTCATTTTGCAGAGAGTTTTGTTGTCGATACGGTCACGAAGAGATGTTCTAAGTATCCTTCGTTCCATTGCTCTCAGTTACAGCCCGCACATTTTCTTTTGCCTTCGTTGGTGCCCACATTTCTCATCCGTGCGTCACTGCCATCAATGCTATGCTGTTGAAGATGCGAACACGGTCTTTCTGGTCTGATACCTTGAGAACATCCATGATGCTATTGAATTTGCGCCATCGGGCAGTACTTCGATGTATATTCTCCACTAGGAGATCATGGCGCATATTCAGTTCTTGGCCCAAGTGGACATAGTTGTTGACTTCTTCCAAGTCCACACCATCTATTTGTAAATTGGCCTTGGGCATGCCGACACTCTCCATCACATTCGTTTTCGTTGCGTTGCTTTTAAGACCCACTTCATTACTTCGTTCGTTGTGCTCTTGCAGCATCTCCTTCATTTCTCGAGCATCTTTTGCGATAAGCACTGTGTCGTCTGTGAAGCGTAGATGATTCGGCTATTCGCCGTTGATGTTTAGACCGCCATTCCAGTGTTCGATTTGTGGAACACCATTTTGATATGGACATTTGGCGTCCTGAAATTATTAGCAGCTCCTTATCCTTTGGTTGCCGGTCCACCTTTGGAGGCCGGTCTGAAGGGCGCTCGGATACTGGGGCCCATATACTTTTCTTCTTCTGTTCACGATTGTTGGACCTTTTAATTTACCACTCGCTGGTCCAGGCTGTCAGTGGTACTGTCCATGCTTAGCCGGTCAGTAATACAGTGCTACGTCATCTCGGGTTGTTGGGAGAGCCAGGGTACTTGCCCCGCCAGGCTTCGACGCTCTGGCCGTTGCCACTCCCATGCCGTGATGAGGTGCCTTGGTCAGAATTTTGTGTGAGAAAGATGAGATAGATTCGAATGGTACTGATGCTGCTCAAATTTCTGCATTATTTCATATCCTTCAGAATGGAGAATAACGATTCATAGGGGACACCAACAGAAGATACCGAAGATGATTAATTGACAGTATGAAGAATCGAGAGAAAGTTGCATCTTTGGATAGCGTTCAGATGGTCATGACTAATAATATATTATGTAATGACATTGCGTAAACTGGATTTCATATCGCCATTCCTCTGTGTAGCGGATGTCCACTGCTATGTTGGAATGGAAATACAAAGACGCCTTTTTATGGATGAATATTGAAAATAAAATAGCAGCCTATGCGTCATTGGAACGGACGTAATTTTGGAAATCTGGCGTAGTAATCTTGACCAAACTTATGCAGTCATGTGATCCACCCTCTCAATGAAGGATTGTATTTACGTTTGTCAAAGTATTAATAGTTGCCGAAGATGGCGAGTATGAGACAGCATACGATCAAGCTTGTTGAGTAAAACCAGTATAAGCATAACATGAGACTACGGACCTATGCTTCTAAAAGTGAAGAAGTATCAGTGAATTTTGTTATGCGCCTCATAAAGGCAGGAAAGTCCAGCCGAAACCTGGTCCCATCACTGCAGGGATTT